TGGGCTTTTATCCCAAGGGAGGCGGGAGCAATGGAGGGCTGGGGCAGAGGAGCGGGGGAACCTGACTCAGGGCTCATGGTCGCCCCCTGGTGGCTGTGTGGGGGGCAGTGATGGGACTGGACCTGCTGGACCCAGAGGAGGGGAGAACTGTGCACACGGAGGATGGTCTGTGCGGGCAGAGGCCACGGTACTTGCAATAGACGGGAGGCCGGGCTGAGCAGGAAGGAATGCACGATGACGTCGCGCCGTGGCTCCAGCCCTGGAAGGTTGCACGGGCCCAGAACCAAGTTCTGCTCTAGGAGCGCCCTCGCGGAATTAGATGGACAGCTGGATTCGTTTGACGCTTTGATGGGGACGGACAAGCAGAGCAAGACGGGGACGTGTCACCGCGGGTCGGCTGAGGGCCTGGGCTGTGCGCTGTGACCTGTCCCAATACGCCATCCCCTCGCAGCCGCCCCTCTGTCCAGCCCCGGAGCTGTCCGCGACCCCCGGTGCTGAAGTTCCAATTGCTAGCGGCCCCAGCTGCTGTAAAATGCCTGGCGTGTAGTGAGCCCGCGACACGAATCCCTGGATGTCACCCAGGGTGGCAAACACGGCCAGGCGTCATTGCTCTGCGCTGGTCCTGTGCCCCGCACACCACAACCTGCCTCTTATAGCTGTGTAAACTGAGGGCAGAGCCAATCAGGAGACTTCCTTCTTTACGAGCGGTACTGCACCTTTAAGGGTCACTTCAGGCGTCGCTCCAGACGTCACAATCACCTAGGCTCTGAAGACAAACCCAAGTTCGACTTGCGGATTGGCTGGCGGCTTCATGAATATGCAGATAACTTCCTTTCCCCTCGCTCCCATAGGCTGCGGAATAAGAGGGGGGGTAGGAGGCGGGGCTGAAGGCGGGGCCCGGAGACCTCGCCTGCGCAGGTGGTGCGGGGAAGGAAGACGCTGGGGGCGTGGCCAGGGATATTGGTGCGTTTTGTTCTCGGCAGTGTCCCCAGGAGAGACGAGAGGACACAGTAGGCGCTTAATAAATGCTCACTGGCGCTCGAGCGCAGTGTGGGATGCCAGTTTTTTTCTAACTTGGGAGACGCTGTTTTGCCTTCTAATGTTACGGAATGACGAAGGCTGTGTTCGTGCACGCTGATCACTTCACTTGGGTCTGCACAGTTCCGGGAACCGTGAGTGCCGTCGGGAGCTCCATTTCACAGGCGGGACGACCAGACTTGGGGGCGAACGCGGACGCAGCGCGTGTGCGGCTCTCTGGCCGCCTCCATTGTCCTCCGAGTAGGACCTGGGTAATTCCCACCCGCTCCTCTCTGCCCAGAAGGTCACGTGTGTCTCCATTACAACCCAGCGCCGCTGCACGCCAGGGGTCAAGCGGAGTGTCCAGGCGGCGGGGAAAGGCCTGGCAGCTGGCGGTAACAGCGGAGCGAGGGAAGGCGACGCCATTGCTGCAGGATGTAGGCACGGGCTGAAATGTTTGCATGGGGTCGCTTCTGCATCCCAGGAGAGGACCCACGGTTCTCCTCGCTCCCTCCGCAAGCCGCCCGCGCGGGGGCGAGGCGGGGCGCCGCGGGCTCCCAATGCAGGCGCGGGCCTCGGCTGCCCCCTGCCGGCGGCCTGGGGCGTAGCCACGGCCGGATGAGTAATTTTGCACAGTTCCCTGGGGTTGGTTCCCCCCACGACAGCCCCGCGAAGCATGCATCTCATCAGCCCATTTTCCAGAGGGAAACTAAGCCCCAAAGAGATCAACCCACTGGCCCAAGGTCACACCCATGACAAGTGTCATAGCCCCTGTGCAAAGCGGGGCCCGTCTGGTTTAGACTGATTTAGCCATCAGCTGTCACGTGCTGGACTCCAGGGGACCGAAAAACAGGACGTGGCGGGCATCGACATGCTACTTCAGCTGCTGTGGCTTCTATCATGTCATGTGCCACAGAGCGTAAGTGGGCACGCTCTTTGCAGCCCGGCACTTCAGTTCTCCGTCTTCCCCCATGAAACGGACGCCACCATAGGGTTGCCATGGTGATCACACGAGTTAGTCTCTGTAAAGCACTCGATCTGTGCCTGGCACGCAGTATGCACTCAATCCATTCAGCTTAGCGGGGTCCAGTCTGGCTTCTCTTACAGTTCAGTCATCCATGTGAACTTGGCAATCCATTTGTCCCAAAGTGGGAATCTGAACCATGCTGGAGTTTAAGGCTCATCTGACATTAAGAGACAACTGACATTTGAAACCCTGAGTGGAGTCGGGCGTGGTGGTGCATTTCTGTAAGCCCAGCTACTCAGGAGGCAGGGACAGTAGGCTTATGAATTTGAGGCCATTCTGGATGACACAGTGAGACCCTGTATCAAAAAACTAAGGGCTCATTGGAGGGCACTTGATCCCTGGCAATGAGCAGAAAGAAAGAAAAGGAAGGAGGGAGAGAGGGAGGGAAGGAAGCAAGGAAAAGAAAGAAGGAAAGCTGAGTGGTCCCAGGTGTGCCCGGCTGAACACTTAACCTGGTATCTCTTTTACATCTGTTGATAAAATGTTCCCACTCTCCCAGGCGTCCTAGGGTTGTCCCAGGTACTTTGTAGACTTGGTGGCTGTCACTGCTGTTGGTTTCTGTTGTATTAGTGACATCAGAATAAACCATGTGTACTAAACCATGCCCACAGCGGGTTGCTTACCATTTTCTAATGGACTCCGTGGGAATCTGGGTGTGGTGTAGTGGGGTCCTCTTCCCCCAGGGCCCTCCTGGCCTGCACTCATGTGACAGCAGGAGCTGGGATCTCATCTGAAGGTTTGAATGGATAGATCCACTTCAGCTCAGGGGGCACTGGCAGAGTTTGGCTTCTCTGTGGCTGTTGTCAGAGGCTGCCCTCAGGTCCGTGCCATGTCGCCCTCCCCATGGGGCAGCTCACAGCATCCTAGCCCAGGTCATTGGAGCCAATCCCTGAGAAAGCAGTGGGGAATCTTGTAGAAAGACCAAAGGTACTGCCTTCTTCAACCTAATCTTGAAAGTGACATTTCCTAACTTTTGCCACTTTCTGGTCATTGGAAGCAAGTCACAGGCCAAAAGTCATGGGGCTAACTGGCCATGGAGTGGAACCTCCAAAACGGTGAGCCAAAACCTACCTTTCCTCTTTACAAGCTGATTACCTCTGGTACTTTGTTACAGTACAGGAAGCTCACTAACATTGTTCTCAATCTCCAAACATCTCAAACCTCTGAGCCTTTGCCCACATGGTTCCTTCCTCCCAGAAAACCCTTCCAGACAAACACAGATTTATGTTTTCATCTCTCACCTCAGCTGAGCCCCATTTCCTTTGTGGTGTTTCACCCTTCCAAGCCTCAGTTTCCTCAAATAAAATGGGAAGAGTTGTTGGCAAAATGAAAATACACCTTTTTTTTTTTTTTTTTCAAGACTGGGGTTTGAACTCCAGCCCTCATCCTTGCTAGGTAGGTGCTCTACTGCTTGAGCCACACTGTCAGCCCTTGTTGTTTATTTATTTTTGAGACAGAGTCTCACTGTGTAGATCTGGCTGGCCTGGAATTTGTGATCCTCCTGCCTCTGCCTCCTGAGTGCTGGGATTGCAGGCATGCATTACAATACCTGGAGAAAACAGGTAATTTCTTCACAGTGCAAGGCAGGCTATTAAGCAGCTCACGAGATTTCATGGTTAATATCACAGCATGGCTGCAGCTGTCTCCATTTTCATCACCCATCCCAGACTCTTCCCCTGAGCCCAGTGTTCCCTGCCGACTCTCAGGACTGGGCCCAGTCTTTTCCTCAGGGCTGATCCCATGGCCTGCCCTCCTCTCCTGTCTCCTCCTCACACTTGCTTTTGTCCCTCTGTACCCGGCTCCTAACATAGCTTGGGTCTGCTACCTCCTGTGGCAGGGCTCACCTCCCTTCTCCCCCAAAGTAACCTCTACTTATCTTCAGATCTCCCCTCTTGTGGACACCTTCTCGGGGGACTGCCTCTGAACATGCCACCTTGAAATCTGTTGTGTCACAGTGTGAGTGAGGATGTGGTGTGGGACCCTCATGCATGGCAGGTTGGAATGTCACACTGTGCAGCCACCACAGGAGAGAGGCCCGAGACCTCTCAGGAAAGTTCAGCGTGAACTGACTTACCGTGTGACCCAGCAATTCCACTTCTGGATATATACCTCAGGATGCTGAAAGCCTACATGCACACAGAAACTTGGACAAAAATTCAAAATTTGTAAAAAGTGCAAACAACCTAAATGTCCACTGATGGATGGATTTTTTTAAATGTGCTCCATTCCCACACTGGAATATTACACAGTCACGAACGGGATGAGACTCTGACACCATGCTAGGGCATGGAAGGACAAGGTGCTCAGTGAGACAAGCAGACACAAAAGGACCCATAGTGTGTGACTCTATTGCTAGGAAACAACCAGAACAGGAGACTCCTGTTCACAGGAAGTGGACTTGTGGGGGCCGAGGACTGGGGAGGGAACAGGGTGACTGCTCATGGGGACAGGGCTACCTTTAGAGTGCTGGAATGTGCTGGGATAGTGATAATGGCTGCATGGCATTGCAAATGACCTGAAGTCACCACACTGCACACCTTAACCTGACTAAACCTGTAGTTTTGAAAATGGTGTAAAGCACTGTGTAATGTCCCTCTCCCACTGGACTGCCTCCAAGAGGACAGAGATCCAAGCCATCTCAGTCACTGCCCCTGGTGACTGGGACCACAGGTGTTCCATAAGTGTTTGCTGAATGAAGAAGTGTGTGAGAGGACTGGCCACCATGCTGGGGTTTTTTTGTTTTGTTTTTTATAAAAAGAACACAGCATTTTTCCAACTTCTGGATTGACCACACAGAACCCCAGACATGGGAATTTCAAACGTTCTCACTTGGTATATGCCCTGCTGTGTCCCTCACCCCTAAGTCTGGATTTCTCTCTAGCCAGGGCATCTGATGGTGTCACATATACTCAGACATTACCAAGGAGGGGTAATAAGGCGAGGGCCAGCTTTTTAACAAGTAAAACTTTTATTAAATAAATTTTTAGTTTTTTTTTTTTTTTAAGACCAAAGAGAGGCATTTGGACATTGCTTCTCGCATGAAGAAAGCGGCAGTGACTTGGGACCTCTCCAGGGAAATCTGCTTTGACACGAAATTCAAACCAAGTCAACCCAAAATTCCCTCAGTGTCTCTTCCTTTCTCTTGTTGTGTGTGTGTTTCCAAAAGTCAGTTTCCAAGTTGAAACTTCATGAAATTACTCGTAGCAGAAATAAAGTACATTGTACAAATCACGCAGGTCTCGGGTGGAGTATAAAAGTGGTATTTACAGCCAGTGAACATGGACGAGGAGATACGCACGACTCCACACCAGCACACAATCCCAAGCCAGGCTGACGGGGACAGGGACCCCCGCAGGCCCCTTGGCACACGCTTGTACACGTAGACGGACAGGACACAGGCAAATAGCAGTGTCTGGGACAATTATCAAACTCTGGCAAATCGAAACAAGTTGGTCAGAAGACTTTTTTTTTTTTTTTTTTGCTATGTGTGTGTGTTTTTTTTTTTTTTGAAAGGGGATCAGTCAACACATTTTGGGAGAAACAAAAGGGAACGCTGTTTTTTTTTTTTTTTCCTTTTTAAATTTTTTTCTGTTGTTTTGTTTTGCTTTTGAGCATAGTAAGTGATCTGGAGCCTCGTGTGGCGAGGCCCCCAGCTGGACGTCCAGACGAACTTGACTCTGTGCTTCAAACGTGGGTGTCACGGACTGGCAGCTATGCAGGGGCGCCCATTTTTTTTTTTTTGAAAAGGGGATCAGTCAACACATTTTGGGAGAAACAAAAGGGAACGCTGTTTTTTTTTTTTTTTCCTTTTTAAATTTTTTTCTGTTGTTTTGTTTTGCTTTTGAGCATAGTAAGTGATCTGGAGCCTCGTGTGGCGAGGCCCCCAGCTGGACGTCCAGACGAACTTGACTCTGTGCTTCAAACGTGGGTGTCACGGACTGGCAGCTATGCAGGGGCGCCCCAAAGCCCTCCCTCCCCACCCCAGCTAGGAAACAAAACCTCATTATTGATTGATTTCTCCCTCATTTTTTTTTTCTTCTTTGTACCTGCTCAGAAAGACCAAAAAAACCCAAAAAATAAAATAAAAATAAAAACCAAAAAAACCCCCAAAACTCTGCAGAGGTATGAAGGTCAACACCAAGTTCGCAGTCTGATAAAGGGGAGCCTGGCCAGTCCAGGTCGGCATGTCCAACACGCTTGGCGATCTTGGTTACAAGACCTTAGAATTCGAGGCTGGTGATTCAAAGGCAGGGACGATGGCTGCCTGCCCTTGGGAGAGGACAGCAAGGGGCAACCCTGTCTGTCCCCGACGGAAAGCTAAGGGCCATTGGTCACACAAGTAAGGCTATGACTAAGGGCTGGGGACAGAGAAGGGCTGGGAGAAGCCAGAGGCTGTCTTTGTGCGGACATCCGGGAAGGCCCTGGGACGTGGGACAGGGCGGGGGGGTCCAGAAAGGGGTCGCTGAGCCCAGGGACACTCGAGCTGGCCAAGCCCAAAGGCCTGCGGGTGTCGTCGGTGGTGGGGGGCCCAGAGTCCTGGAGGTATATCGTGTTGGTGGATTCCTGGGGTGATGTTCCAGTGGGGAGGTGGCCGGGCCATCAGCCAGCCTCAGCCTGTCCTTCGTGGCTGCCGAGTGACCGGCTCAGGGTCACCCCTCCCTCGAGTGGAAGGAAGTCGGAAAAGTTTGGCCCCATGATCTATACTCCAAAAATATATAAACTGTCTATAGCTCTCTATATATATGCACATATATATAGGAATAGATCGTTTCCCTTCTGGGAAAGCTACCAAGTTGGGGGAGGGGAGAGAAGAAATGTCCCAAAGCTGGGGGCAGTGTGTGAACCCCTTGGTCCCCAACTCAGGAGCCCTCCCCCACTCAGGACAGACCACGAAGCCCCCCTCTCCTCACTCCATGTGGCTTTCAGTAGCTTCACATTTTTAGGGGGAGGGAAGGGGGCAGAGCAAGGGGACAGGGGGTGGAGTGGGGGGAGGGGGCTGGTGTCCAAACACGGTTGTAATTTACGCAAAAGTCCTGGTCGGTTGGAAGCGGGAGGCCCTCCTGGGGCGGGAAGACCCCTCACCTGGGGGAGAAGGGAGGGGCGTTAAGGAGCCATCGTGGGGGGACGCGGATGGAGGACACCACCTCCCCACTGCACCCCCTTTGCCCGGGCCAGGCTGAGGTCTAGGAACCCATGCTTTCCAAAATCGCAGACTCCCCAGCTTCAGAGGCCAGCAAATCCGGCTTGGAAGGGACTTAACGTCTGTTTCCTCCATCTGGCAACCAGGGACAAGCGTATGTCTCTGTTCTGTGTCCTTCTTCCCCACGCCCTGCCACGTATAGTCTGGGCTGGCAGCCTGTCCCCCTCCCCATGTTTCGTGCTTCGTGGTGTCACTGCCTAGCACACAGTGGGTGCTCAGAGTTAAAAGCGAGTGTCTCGCAGAGGGTGGACTACCTATGGTTTGTGCTCCTGGTTAGCCTTGTCCCACATCCCAGAGGTGAGTCCCCGATGGGCTAGGTGAGACCCTGTGGCTAGGACACGCACACATCTATACGAGGAGCCGGCCTCACACAGTCCAAGAAGCACTCAACAGACTAAATGAACACCTGCTCCACGCCAGACCCCAGGCAAGGCTCGTTCACGGTGACCGTGGCGGTGACTTAAGGTAAAGAATCAAAAGGAATTATCCAGGTATCCAGAGTTCCTTCGATGATGGGTTCCAGGCTCAGCTGTGAACTTCACAGCCAGTCCCTGGTCGGATCCTTCCCGCCACTGCCCTATGAGCCCATTTTACAGATGGACTCGTCAGGGTGTGTGATCAGCTCTATCTCCATGTGGCTCCTTAGGCTTACTTTTCCATCCCCAAAGAAATTGCTGGTAAAGATGGTCACCCCGATGGGGTTTTGTTTGTTAGTTGCGGTTTTCTGAATGAAGGTTAGTGGGTACATGTTCCACCTTTCCTCACCCATTGGGTATGTATTAGACTAGAGGAAGCTGGGGCACTGTTAGGGCTGGTGGGGATGGAGGGGGTGGGGACAGGAAAGTTGGCAAGACATTGCCCCCACCCCCTACACGCCAGCCCTTGTTCCAAGCTCAGCAGTGCACTTTGGGGTTCAACCTTACAGGCTAAGGTCTGGGGTGTGCATTTCACATTTTTTTCCCGTCTGGTTTAGGGTTTTTCAGTGGGAAAACAGGTTTATAGGACAGGATCAGAGCCCTTCCCCACCATTCCCTCCATCCCAGGCCCTTGCTGGCCTCCGGGTGAATTTCTATTCATCCCTCAAAGCCCTCTTCAAACCACCCTTAGTGGGCCCTGGCTTCTCCCACCTCCCTACCCCAATCCCACCCTCTGTTCCAGCCCCGAATATCAGGGCTAATTGGGGGTGTCTTTATCCAGCTCTGATCCCAACAACTAAACCTGGGAACTTCTTGCAGCATTGCTCCCCCGCCCAGGGTGGGGGTTTGGAGAGTAAGCGTGGGGTAGGGGTAGGGGTGGGGCTTGGACAAGACCAGGACTGGGGAGGGGCGTGGGGCGTGGGGCCGCCTGGCGGCTCACCTGGGCCAGACCCACAGCCTCAGGGCGGCTGTGGGTACGGTCAGTAGGGGTGTCCCGGGTCTTTGGGCCGCTTCAGCTGCACCTTGAGTCTCTTCATGCCGACCTGGAATCCGTTCATGGCCTGGATGGCCGTCTGCGCGCTGGCCGGGTTGTCAAAGCTCACGAATCCTGCAGGATCGGGGTGGAGCGTGGCGGTCGGTGCGGCTGTCCACCGCTTGTGGGGGGCCACTCATGTGGTGGGCACTCGGGGGCAGCCCTGGCTTTGTGCGGCTACCTGTGGCCTTGACTGCTCCTGGGGGCCAAGGGCTCACTCCCTACACAATCTGCCGCAGCTGCCCATCTCACACGGAGGACAGGTGCGCCTGTGAGGTGAGGAGGGCTCACCCTTTCTCCCCTGGATGCCAAATCTGCCTCTGCTGGCAGCCCCCCACCGCATCAGTGAGCGTATGTAATGCTTCTGTGGTTGGAGAATGTTCTACAGGACAGCAAAGCTTCAGGCGCTAAAAGTTTCGCAAAGAAAGGAATTTTTCTTGTTTTTGGTGGGACTGGGATTTGAACTCAGGGCTTCACATTTGCAAAGCAGGCGCTCTACTGCTTGAACTACTCCTCCAGTCCATTTTACTCTGGTTATTTTGAAGATGGCACGGGAGGAGGGGGTGTCTAGAGAACTGTTGGCCAGGGCTGGCCTTGAACCACGATCCTCCCTATCTCAGCTTCTCAGGTAGCTAGGATTACAGGTGTGAGTCATCGGCACCTGGCTAAAGAAAGGGATTTCTGTTAGCCTTGTCCAGTGCTCTGTGACCAGCGTACAGCACAACGTCTAGTGCAAAACAGATGCACAAGATACTTCTCTGTTGGCTGAACATGGTGGTACCCACCTGTAATGCCAGCACTCAGGAGGCAGAGTCAGGAGGATGGCAAGGTCCACGCCAGCCTGGGCTACACAGTGAGCACCTCACCCAAGAGGTCAAGGCTGGGAGTGCAGCTCAGTGCAGAGCCCTGGTCTAGCACGCATGAGGCCCTGGGTCCTGTCCCTAGCACCAGAGCTTCCTCCCATGCCCACGGCGCCCACTCACCGAAACACTTGCTCTGGTTGGTAGCCCGATCCATAAACACCTTGGAGGAGATGATATTGCCGAAGGGCAGGAACATCTGCGTCAGTTCCGTGTCTCCAAACTCCTGGGGGAGGTGGTAGATAAACAGGTTACAGCCTTCGGGACCTGCAGGTGGGGGAGAGAAAGACATAAAGCCCCCAAGGAGAGGAGGTGGACCCCCAGGGAGGGGCGTGGGCCGGAGCCCACATCCTGGTCTCCAGCTGTGGGGGACCGGGCTTGTGCAGGGAGGTGGCAGGGCCCGCGATCCCTCCCTGCTGGATACAGTGCCACCCTGGGACATAGCCAACCACCGGTAACCCTCAGGCTTCTAGAAAACCCCGATGGCTCCCCAAACCCAGCTCAATCCCCCACCCAGACACCAGACAATCTATCCGTAAACCTCCAACTCGCAATCATCTACAAAAGTCACATGGATTAGGTGTGGGGAATACGGAAACTTGGTGGCATCTCTGCACAGATTGTGTAGGCCTAAAATTGCTCTAAAAGAAAACCGTCATTGAGGGTCACATGACCAAGCCAGGGCTGTGGCTCCACAGCACAGCAAGCGTGTAGCATGTGCAAGGCCCTGAGTTTGAACCCTAGCACCCAAAACCATTAAAATAAAAATGAAATGATCATAGAATAAAATAAAACCCCACCATCCATATGCAAACCTTGGATTATTTTCAAAACTCAAACAATGCCATCCTCCTGACTCTGCCTCCTGAACAGATAATTTTCCTTGCCCAAAACCACAGACATCCTGAGTTCATAGATAACTAAACAATGATATAACACCAACGAAAAACAAATTTTATATAAAAAAGTCATACTTATCCTCAAAATCACTCCCAATGCATGGCTAATAGAAAAATTACAAATAAAACACTAATAGCATTTTAAAAACCCAATAATCCCAAGCTGTAGACAGCCGAAAGTCTGCTACAAATTGCAGCCCTAAAAATCTCAGTCTTGGTCCAGGCCCCCCTTGAACAAGGGGAACCCCTACCTGCAATAAATATAAATGTAAAATACATAAAACCCAAGATTGCACATTGACCCCTGACTCTTGCCTTCCTAGCTGGGAATATTGGTCAGCTATGTTGTTTGTTTTTTGGGGAGGTTAATTTTTTGGCAGTATGGGTTTGAACTCAGGACTTACTAGGCAGGCACTCTACCACCTGAGCCACACCCCCAGCCCTTTTGCTTTCAGTTTACTTTTCAGACAGGGTCTCGTGCTTTTGCCCCATCTGGCTTGAACTGGTGATCTTCTTACCTCTGCCTCTCACAGGCTACTGTCATCACACCCAGCTCGTTGTTGAGATGGGGGTCTTGCTAGCTTTTTTTGCCTGGGCTGGCCTCAATCTGTGATCCTTCTCCCTTTGCCTCCCGCATAGCTGGGATCCAGGTGTGAGCCACCATGCCCAGCCCCTCTAACACTTCCTCTTAAAATGCAAGTTTGTTCCAAAAGGATTCACATGACAGCAGTTTTGAGTGTAACTTGAATTTTGTGTTGACGCATTATTTTGTCCCTTAAAAAAACTCTGGGTGAGTGCAAAGAATCGTACCCAGCTGAAAAGAACCTCCAAGGGAAACACAAATTGCACATGTGTGTGCACACACTGCAAACATGTGCCTGTGTGTGATAAGCCACACCCGTCCCTGCATGGGACTGCCCTTCTCCGCCTGATTTCATGGCCTCAATCTTCCTTCCACCACACCAGAGTAACTCAGGCTGCAGCCCTTCACTGTCACTTCCGAGTGCAAATTTCAGGTCTCTCCCCCAAGACACAGCGTCATATTTATTATAGGATTCATTCCTTTCTTTTTGGGGGTGGTACTGGGCTTTGAACTCAGGGCCTCAGGTTTGCTAGGCAGGCGCTCTACTACTTGAGCCACTCCATCAGCCCTTTTTTGTGATGGGTTTTTTCCAAGATGGGGTCTCATGAACTATTTGCTTGGGCTGGCCTCAGACCATGATCCTCCTGGTCTCTGCCTCCTGAGTAGCTGGGATTATAGGTGTGAGCCACTGTGCTCAGCTGGATTCATTCATTTCTTAATCATTCGGCATATAAAGCTATGCAGCCATTTTTCCTAGCTCTCTTTTTAACATGTTGCTGATAGTTTTTGAATATTGAACCCAATTCTATTTTGCCCACAAGCTGTATAGTTTGGATTTTGAGACTTTTACACATCGTGGTGACTTTTTGGAATGTGTACACCGAGTTACAGCAGCCCTGACTGTACTGACGTCCCTCGGCATCCTCAGGGGATCGGTCCCAGGTCTGAGGATGCCCAAGTCCTTCTATAACACGGTGGAGTGTTTGCACAGAATCTGCACACGTCTTCCTGTCCAGATTTGTTGATGGAACACCATAGGAAATCAGCTGGGGACCCCCTCCTGCACCCTGTCCGTAGACCCCCTCCATAGAAACTGGGCAGAGTCTCAAAGAACTCAGTCCACAGGCCAGGCCAGCAACCCATCCATCTCCCCATGGAGTAGTCAGGGGCTTTTCTGGCTGGCCACCTCTCCCCAGGACACCCCTGTCTCCACAGTAGATGGATCAGAGAGGAAGTGACTTCCTGGCATGGAACACCTGGGACCGGTCAGGAACAGCTGTTCTCACATTCCTGTTAACACTTCATGGCCTAGAGGACACCTGTGCTGCATGTGAGGAAACTGAGGCACAGTTGCCTCCTTATGATGTTGCAAGTCAGAAACGGGTGGATTTGAACTTCCCTCCTCCCTCCCTCCGCAGCCTTGGCTTTCCTGGAAAGGCCTCAGTTTACCCATGATACTCATCCTGCCTGCGGAACCCCAACCTCAGAAACAGTTTCCTGTCCCAAGGTGCTGACAACCACTCTACTCCGGGAGGAGAGGGCTGATGGAGCCACTGCTGCTAGCACGGCTCCCCCTGACCGCGGGTAGGAAACGGGTTCAGAGGGTGGCAGGTCGCTGCGCCAGGCCTGGAACCGAGGCGAGACAGGATCCAGGCCCCAGCAAGGCCGCGCGGGCCGCGAGGACAGGGCAGGCGGAGTCTGCAGGTGGAGGCCGAGGGCGGGGCTGGCGCCCGGGGGAGGTCGCGGCCGCCTCACCTTCTCGCTGCTGCTGCTGCAGGAGGGGCGGCGGCTGGGGGACGCTGTGCGCGATGGGCGTGATGGCCGCGGTGGGGTACATGGCTGCGGAGACCGGAGCAGACACCCGGCGGAGGCGGGGCGTGAGGCCCGGGAGGGGGCCGGCGGGGCGGGGCCACGGCGGAGGGCGGGGCCAAGGGCAAGGGGAAAGAGGGGCGGGGCAGGGGCGGGATCAAGACCACAGGGAGAGGTGGGCGGGGCCATGACTGCGTGGGGTGGGGTGGGGTGGAGGCGGGGCCGGGAAATGACAGGAGAGGGGTCAAGTCGGTGGGGAGGGGCGACAGCTCTAGGGGCGGGTCTTGGGCGGACTCAAGGCCATAAGGGGTGGGGCCGTGGCTGGGGGAGGGGCCACGACTCGAGGAGTGGGACAGGGGCGGAGTCAAGTCACAGGAAGAGAGGGTGGGAGGGGCCATGAGCCAAGGGGCGGAGTCAAAGGCGCAAGGAAACTTAGTGGGCGGGACCATGAGCGGAGGGGCGGAGCCACAGAGGGTGAGGCCAAGGTCAGCCTTAGGAAGGAGAGCAAAATGTGGGGGCGGGGCTTTGGCAGAGGCACGGTCAGTCAAGACGGGATGTGAGGGGCGTGACCAGATGCTCATGAAGGGGCGGGCCAAGAACTGGGATTGGGTCAGAGCCAGAGGTGTGGTAAGGGGGAGCCCCTATTCCTTTTCCCAGGTAGGCTCATGGCAAGGGGTGAGCCTTAAGAAATAAGCCTAGTTTCCTCAGGGGAGTTGGTAGCAGGAGCACGACCCACATGGAGCAGAGGGTTTGAACCCAAGGACAAGGGACTGGGGGGGGTGTATCCCCCAGTGGGCGGGGCCAGAGGCAGGAGTAATCGGGCACAAAACAGAAGGTATTTGGGGCGTGGCCACGGTGGGCGTGGCCGGGCAGGAAGGAAGACGGGGCGGGGCGGGGCGGGGCGGGGCCCGGACTGCTTCTGTACCTGTGTACTGCTGGACTCCGGAGAAGGCTGGGTGGAGGGTCTCGGCCACCGTCGGGCTCTGAGCTGCAGGGAGGATGGAGGGGCTGAGTGGGGCGGGGAGGCAGAAGTCTTCCACCCACTCTCATCCTTAAAAGTCAGAAGGTGACCAACAAACCTGGCCCCAGTTTCACTTCTGTGATAAAGCTTTTATGGGTATGATCCCCACTTTACAGGCGAGGAAACTGAGGCTCAGAGGGGTGAGGTCACTTGCATAGGGTCACTAAGGTGGGAAATGGCAAAAGCCGGATTGGAACTCAGGTTTATCAGATTCCAGAGTGTTTCCCTTATCCTGACTCCCTAACTACCCAGGAGACCCTCATTCCTCATTCTACAGGACTTCAGCCTCTCGGCTCAGTCTCCCCATCCCCTTCCCAAGACTCTTGCATCAGACACCTTCTGCAAGCCCCATCCAGCTGTGACCCTCTGGCTGCCACTAGGATAGGGGAGAGGTTGTCCTGGTCACCAAAGCTTCCCAGGCTGGGAAGAATTCTGCCTGAGAATAATACTGCAATGGAGAGGCTGCTAATGGATGGGGCGGTGCAAATCTCTACGGGTGACAAAATGGCACAGAAACAAACACGCAGGCACAGTGCGTGTAAAACTGATGAAGTCTGAATACAGTCTGGAGTTGATTACACTGTACCAGTGTCAATGTTCTGTTTTCTTTGTTTTATTTTGTAGCCCCAGCTGGCCTGGAACTCACAATGCTTCTGCCTCAGTCTCCTAAGCACTGTCATTATAGATGTGCGCCATCACACCTGGCTTAATTTCCTTGGTTTAATGACACTATGGTCACGTAAGATGTTAGCAAATAGGTGTTTATTAGATGAAGCTAGGCAAAACACTCAGGGGTCTGAGGACTGCCTGGAGTTACCTGCGTAGGGCACAAGTCCATTGGCATATACAGTTTCCAGAGCAGGGTGCCCACCAGGGAAGGGCACAACTCCTGTAAAGCCATTGGTGATGGGAGCCACGAGGCCGGGAACAGTGGCAGTGCCGAGCAGCGGGGGTGAGTGCAGCCCTGTGGGCAGAAAAGGATCAGGGGAGCCATAGCCACGGGAGGAGCCCTGCCCACCCTCCCTTAGGCCCTGACGGCTGCTCACCAGAGGCAGGAGTGATGGGTGTGGCAGGCAGCCCGTTAAGGCTGACAGCACCAATCTGCTGGATATGACATGGTGAAAAGGCCACGCCGGGGCTCAGGTAGCTGCCCGAGGTGGACAGGACCGTTGTCTGCTGTTGCATGAGCTGGGGGTGAAGAGGGTATCAGTAAGCTTGGCCTGACCTGAGATCATGGTTCTCAGCAGGGAGACCTAGCTCCAGTAACTAGGGTGAGGGAATGTCATTCTGGGTATCTTGCTCAGACTGGGCTCAGGTTCAGTCAGGAACTGGAGCTCAGACTTGGATGAGGGATCAGCCTGGGATCAGGGCTCAGTCTATCATCAGGCCTTGGTTAGAAATTGAGGCTTAGCCTGATTGTCAGTTGAGAATCAGGCTCAGTTAGAAATAAAGCTCAGTCTAAGATCAGGACTTGGTCTAGGATCAGGGCTCAGTTAGAAAGTGAAACTCAGCTGGAGATCAGGGTTCAGTCTAGGATTAGGGCTCAGTTAGAAATTAAGGTTCAACCTGGGATGAGGGCTCAGTTTATGATCAGGGCTCAGTCAGGAATTGGGGCCCAGCCTGAGACCAGGGCTCACCAAGGTCAGTTTGAGGTCAGTCAAGATTTGGAAGTTTAGCAGAATTGGATCTAATCTAGATGTAGGACAACCAGGATCTAGGCTCAGCTCAAGGTTGGGTCTTAGCTGTAGATTAGAGTTCAGTGCAGATCAGGCTGTAGCCTGGATTAGAGGCTTAGTCTGAATTTGCCATCAGGTCAGGGTTGGGGCTCAGCCACCAAATCCAGGCTGAGCCTGGGATTGTGTCTGTCCAGAATTGGGGTGTCAGTCTAGGGGTGGGGCTCAGTTGTTGGATGGAGCTCTGTTGGGACAGGTTAGTCTGGATTTGGGCCCTGGCTACTGCCAGGACAGGATCCTGAATCAGAGTTAGGACGGGGCACAGAAGAAGAGGGCACAGAAGCCTTCCCAGGGAAAGAGGGAGAAGGACGAGCATAGTCTCAGGAGCGCCACTGGACCCAGAGCCCAGCTGCTGGGGTCACTCACAGCCTGGGCGTAGGCACTGTAGGGGCTGAAGGGCAGGGTGAGGGACGGTGTCAGGATGCCCAGCTGGCCCACCATCTGCTGCATACGCCGGAGTGTCCGCTCCTTGTCTGTGTCGGCGAACTTGACCACCAGGCTGGAGGAGGCTCCCTGCAGGAAGGAGAAGAAGGACAGGAGGTAGCCAGGACTGTGAGGTCCCCAGAATCCTGCCAGCTTGGACCCTTGAGTGAGGGATGGAGATGGCAGCAGCTGTCAGCCCCGTCTGCAGGGCCATAGCAGGAACTGTATGGAGATCAGTGTCCTGGACCTGGCTGCATGGCAGTACAGCCCTGATCCACACTGGTGGGGCATCCAGGCCCTGGGAGCTGTGTCTGGGGTGCAGGTGGAGGACCTCAAAACCAAGTGGAGCACCCAGCAGCTGGAGAGGAACAGTGGAGGGGGCATGGATGGAGGGTTCTATACCAGTCACCCACACCTGAGGACAGGTGAGACTCCAGCTGCTGAAGAGGAAGAAAAAAGCCACAGGCAGACAAGCAATCCTGCAGCTGTGTTCCCCACACCTGAGAACAGACTGCTGCACCCTGTGCAGGTGGACAAGCTTGTGGCTCACCTTCCCAGGTGAGAGCAGACACTAGCTGGAAAAGGAGCCCCTGCTTTATGGGCACACACAGGACCTATGTGATGATCGCTCACCCCTAACAAGAGCTAGGAGGTACACTTGCTGGAGAAGAAGATGCCACTGGGGGACAGGTGCCACACAGCTGAGCTGAAACACCTATGCCAGTTGTAGGCAGCAACAGGCCCTGAGGTGTCAGGGAAGCCCGGGCTCAGACGCTGGGAGGCACCTCCACCCCCAGGGTGCAGTCGGCTGCACCCTGACTTTGGGGCCTGAGAAGGGAGACATCTTTGTCCTCAGCCAGCCCTACCTGGGGAGCCAGTCCCAAATGCCCCATTCAGTCCATCTCTGCTGACATGCAAATGCCCCTGTGATGGAGATTTCACCCTAGTACACCCACAGCCACATCAACGTACAGTTCTGGCTGGGCACAGTGGCCATGTCTGTGAGTCCAGCACTTGGGAGGCTGAGCTCCAGACTCCGTCTCAAAAAAAAAAAAAAAAAAGAAAAAAAGGCCAGGCACAGTGACTCAAAAGGCAGCTACTCAAAAGGCAGAGATCAGGAGGATCATACAAGCAGTGAGACCCAATCTCAACCAATAAGCATGGTGGCTCACATCTGCTATGTGGAAGGCAAAGGTAGGATTGTGGTCTGAGGCTGACCCTGGGCAAAAAGTGTGAGACTCTGCCTGAAAAATAACAAAGCATACAAGGCCAGAGGCATGGCTTGAGCAGAAAAGCGCCTGCCTAGCAAGTGAAAGGCCCTGAGTTCAAACCCCAGCACTACTAAAACAAAAAAATGACAACAATAACAACAACAAAAAACCAACCCCAAAAGCAACAACACCCGAAAAAAAGCAAACAGCCTCCATGCTGGGCTCTAGGATTCCTATCTTCCCTCTCTACCCCCCACTTTGGCCTATAGGAATATCTGCAACTGATCTGCTTGTTCCCTCCCTTGCTCTAAGACCTCCATGGCTCCCTACTGCCCTAGGAGGAAGTCTGTGTTCCTGGGCCTCTAGCCACTATTCCTCCAGGCTGCAGTTCTGCCTCCCAGCCTTTGTTCGTTCACACCCATTGGATTCGCTCTGTACACATGCACACATCCACACACACTTGCAGTCGCCATGTATATTCACAGACCTGCACAACCACGCATGCACACAGCCACACCCCCACTCATGCATGCAGTCACACGCACGCACACTTGTCCTCGCACATGCCAGCAGACGCACATACTCCCATCACCCAGGCACAGTCACATGGGCACACCTGCCCTCACACACAGACCTGTGTGGAAACACACATGTACACACACCGCCATGCTTGCACACACACATGTATGTGCACAACACACACAGGAACATGAATATGTGCATACAGACACATCTCACAGGCACACAGCACACACGTGACAATCACACACACGTGCCCACATGTACACACGGTGGTACAACATGCACACCCACACATGCTTTGCAGTCTCACACACACACCCACGCACACAACCACTCACTTCTTCCTCCTCTCTGACAAAGAGCTAGGTGCTCCTGGCTGACTGCAATGCCCCCGTCCCTTCCGCCTTCCCACGGCATGGCCGAAGGCAGCTGTCACTCACCGGCATGGTCTGGCTGCCGTGAAGGGCATGGATGGCCGCCTGAGCCTCCGTGTGGGAGGAGAACTTCACGAAGGCACAGCCTGTCCAAGAGAAGAAGCGGTGCAGGGTGAGGGGCTCAAAGGAGCCCGTGGGCAGGGGGACAGGGAGCTCTGGGTGGCCCCTCAGGATCAGACACACGCAGTCAGAGCCAGCAGGGCCTTCAGACAGCTGGACAACCAAACAGAGCCAGGCCAGACAGTCAGAGAGTTAGACAGACTGTGGTCATCACAACCAGGGATCCATTCACTCGGCCAATCGGAAAGCAGAACGCTGTTTAGACAACCGATCAGAGTCTGTCACACACTCTGAGGTGGGCAGCGTGAGGCATGGTATGCTCAAGGACAAGACTGTCCTATCTTCAGAACAAGTGCCCAGGACAGCCGAGGACACTTAGATATGGAAGACTGTAATCAGATTTGTAGAACTAAAATGACACATCATCAGACAGACACATGGACTCACAGTCCTGTGGGCAGAGTGAGGCACACACCCAAATGACCAGAGAAAAGGGACCATCACACCAGGACAGAGCTGGCCAGACAGCTGCACAGGCAGCATCAGACACACAGACAACCAGAGACCACCAGACATGGGCAAATTCAGCCAGACAACTGTATGGACAGAGACCACAGACACAACTCCAGAGGAGTACTACGGGAGAGACACACAGCTCTTGTGGTGGTTGTGACATAATATTCTGGGACTAGACAGTGGTGACTGTTGCACAATTTTGTGACCAGACTACAAAGCACTGCATTGTACACTTTAAAAGGGTGAACATTATGGCATGTGAATTACATCTCAATTTCAAAACAGTTCAGCAAGTAGAGACCACCACATGTATTCAGTCCTGGTAAGATAAGATGAGGGCAGAAACAGGGTGGACCGCGCGCACACATGAAGACTGAGCCAGGCCATTCATTCCGACACTCAGATACATCCAGATGGGAACAGTTCCAAAGTCAGGCAGTGGACGAGTCACGCAGGACCCAAGCAGCCCCAGATGGCTGGGAATGGAATCAGGTTAAGACCAGTTCCTGCCCACCTCGCCCCTGGGAACTGGCCCTTCCGCACCAGCTCCGGCCGCCCTAGACCTTGACCCGCCCCTCCGTTGCTCAGCCCCACCCAGTCCCACTAGCCCCGCCCCTGGCACCAGCCCCACCCAAAGGCCCCGCCCCCAGTCCTTCCTCTCCTGTTTTCCCAGCCCCTCCCTCCATCAAGCCTTGCCCCTTCCCAAGCTGCTCTGTCCTGGAATCAGCCTGCCACCGCCATCCAGCCCCAGCCACCCTGTCAGCCGCCCTCCACTGCTAGCACCATCCTTCTACCAGAACCACCCCTTCCCGCGGGCCCCGCCCCTTCCCGCGGGCCCCGCCCCTTCCCGCGGGCCCCGTCCCACCAAAGGCCCCCACTCCGCTGCACGCGCTCAGAGGCAGCCCCTCCCTTTTCCTTGGCCCCGCCCCTCCCAGCAGGACCCGCCTTCCTCCAGCCCCGCCCCGTGGCGCGCCCCGGGCCCCTCCAAGTCACCTTTGCTGCTGCCGTCAGGCCCCCTGAGCACTGTGCACTCGTCGATGACCCCGAAGGGCTGGAACAGCCGTAGCACGTCCTCCTCCGACTGCTGCTTGTTCAGCATCCCCACGAACAGCTTCCGGTCCCCTGTGGGCGGAGACACCACCTCAGCCTTGTCCCCAGCCTCCTCCGAGGTTTCTCCACCTCTCCCATTCAGCATGAAGAGGGGTCACCCGTGCCCTCTGCCGGCCCTAGCTCTGCACGTGCTGGGGAGGACACAGCCACGAGGCAAGGAAAGGCACCTGTTCCCTGCCTGGATCCCTCACCATCCCATGCGCCTGGCATGGTCCCACCTCTGGGCCTTTGCTCACGGGGTGCCCTGGCTGCAATGCCCTCGCTTTAATCCTTCAGGCCTCTGCTCCAGTGCTCCCCACTCTGGGCGAAGTTGATCCCCTCCTGAGTAGTAGTAATAGGGCTAAGAACCAACTTGCAGGACCTGGATCCCTGTCTGCCTGCCCTCCTGCCTCTAGCTCTGCCAGTAGGGGTACCCACTCATGGCCCGAGTCTTGACAGTGCCCAGCAGAGCCCTCTGCCCAAGGCTGAGGGACTCAGGAGAGCCCAGGCCACCAAGTCCTGGGGTAGGGGTCTGGCTGGAGCTGTCCAAGGCTGAGGCCAGCCTCTGCCTTTGGAGGTCTCAAGCTCTGCCCCCTTGGTAACTGCACTGGGCCCTGACAATCCAGAAGGTGGCAGCTCCCTCTCTCAGGGATGGTGAGCTGGGTTACTATGGAAACTGTCCTCCGGCAGCTGTCACTCATGGAGGTGGGAGGGAGAGAAAGGGAAGCAGAGAGACAGCTGAACACCAGGGAGGGAGAGACAGAGAGAGATGGAGAGAGACAGAAAAGGACAGTAAGAGACACAGAAGCAGGGAGAGGAAAAGAAGAAACAGAGATGGGGCAGAAGGAGAGGGGGGAGAGAGAGAGAGAGAGAGAGAGAGAGAGAGAGAGAGAGAGAGAGAGAGAGAGAGAGAGAGAGAGAGAGAGAGAGAGAGAGAGAGAGAACGCTAGCTGGTGGAGACACAGACCTGCCTCTCTACTCCTCATCCCACACTGCCATCCAGGTTGGAGCGTGTCAAAATGGCTCCCAACCCACATGGGCTTTACCAGGCTCCTACACATACACAGGGGTCCTCGTTGCCCTGCCCCACACCTCCCCTCACCCCCAATCTGGCTGCTTTCCTTCCACAATCCTCCACCCAGGATAGGGGCAGGACATGAAACTCCCCAAGAGTGATTAGCCTTGGGTTCCCACTACAGACTGCTTAAGCCCTACCCCCAACAGGGCTTGTCCCCACACCCAGGTCCAGCCTCACGTAGACACCAGGGCCCCAGCCTGCATATCAGCCCACACACTGGCCTCCAACAGTCAAGCACACGTGTGAGCACCCACACCCACATGCAGGCCGGGCACACAGGTGGGAGGGCGCCCCCATGGCACAGCTGTACACGCAGGACTCCTGTGCACTGGCTGCAGAAGTAGTGACACACAAATGCACCCCCCCCACACACACACACACACGTGCACATGGCCACTGTCCCTTTGGGAGTGCGTTATAGGGAAGGGATTTTTCCCTTCTTCCCCCTTTCCTCTGCTGACCCCCGGCCTGGAGGCCACGGAGAGATGACAACTACCTCCGCGGCTTTCACTGTCCGCAGGCTTCACCTGGATTGGCCGGGCCATCTGTGGAGAGAGGGGGAGGAAAAGTAAAGTTGCATTGGTGGAAGGAATGACCAGGGCTTTGTCTGAGCTCTGCTGGGCACCCCACAAACACCCCAGTCAAACAAAATAGAATATGGGACCACCTTCAAGGTGGAACCTGTCTGGAAAACTCTTAACTAGCCTTCAAAACCCAGCAACAATTATCCCTTCCTCCAGGAAGCCTTCTAGAATTAGTGTTTGCAAAGATGACCCAATTCCTCATACCAGTATGCAATATGACTTTGCAGTGCCTACCATCAACTACAGAGTTTGATGCCCCAAGGCTGGCATCTGGACTTGGCCATGTGACTTGCTCTGACCAACAGAATGTGATAGGAGTTCTAAGCCTAGGTCTCAACAGTGCTTGTCTCTTTCCTCTTGTCCTCTTGGAGTGTAAGAGCTGCCAGGCAGACAAACCTGGATTAGCTACTGAATGACTCCCAGAAGACACCCCAACCAGCTCAAATTGCCCACCCACAGAATTGTGAACAAATAAAATTACTGGGACAGTTTGTTACTTGTTAGGAACTGACTGATACACACAGGCCGTTACTTTTACCCACAAACTTTGGTAGAGCACACTATCACACCTGAGTGGATCAGCCTGTCCTCTGCACCCACTGTTCTGGATTTTTCTGTTCCCCCCACCCCAGGCACTGAAAATGATGTTCTGTGGGAGGAGTCCTCCCCTCCTCCACAGCCATAGCATATACAGCCCTGGGTATGAGCTACCAAGGACATTTGAGGATAGATTTGACGGATGTGGAAGAGGCAGGGGACCTTTGCTTGTGCAGTGGTCCTGAGACAGAATCCTGCTCCCAACATGAAACCTCACATGAATTCCAGCTCATCCATCAAAGCCAAGCTCGAGCCGGGCACCAGTGGCTCATGCCTGTGATCCTAACTACTCAGGAGGCAGAGATCAGGAGGACTGTGGTTCAAAGCCAGCCCAGGCAAATGGCTTGCAAGACCCTATCTTGAAAAAAAAAAAAACCATCACAAAAAAAGGGCTGGCAGAGTGGCTCAGCAGTAGAGTGCCTGCCTAGCAAATGTGAGTTTAAGTCCCAGTACCACCAAAAAAATAAGCAGGCAACCCTCCCTCCCACCTCCAGGGTCTCCTTGCTCCCTCTGCCTGAGGGCTGGAAGTGTCTTTGTCTTGTTCTATCTCCCCCCACAGAGTGGGGACTGTGCCATCACCCCACACAGGGCAGGGCACATGAGAGATGAGCAGAGCTGTTATGGTGCCAGAAGGAAAGGGTCAACGTCAGTCCTCAAGCATAGAAAGACGCCTGGGGCTGGAGTGAGTCTGGTCCAGGTCCTTCCAGGTAAGAGCACTGTGGAGTAGGATCCCCAAGTCTACGGAGCCCTGGGGGATCATCAGTGCTTTCTACCTCTCCGACTTCTGGGGTCCCACACAAAGAAGGCACTCGGCAAACAGTTTTTCCAATTAGAGCAGGTCTGCCCATACAACTTTAGAGGCTGGCACGATGTACGCCCATCCTATAGATGTCAAAATCGAGGCCCAGAGAGAAGCCAGGTGCCTAAGCTCACTGCCGTGAAACATTCTGGGTCTCTAGGGACAGGGGACTTTACACCCACTTCCACAGACCAGCCCCTCCTCCTTCTCCATCTTTGAACCCCCAAAGACTTCTCCCTCTAGATCTGCACTTTGATCCGACCCCTTCTCCCAGATCCTGTCCCTCAGACCCCCCTGACTCTGAGCCCTCCCCTCATTCTGCACCCTCCCGACGCCCGCCCCCTCCCTGCTAAGCTTCCCTCTTTCTTGGAGCCCCTCTCTTTTCAGACGCCCTTCCCCCTCTTACTGTCCCCTCCCTTCTGTCTAAGACCCGCCTCTTCTCATCCCCTCCCCCTTTCTGAGTGTGTGTGGGGGCACATGTGGGTTGCCTCAACTTGAACTCAGACTCCTAGAACCAGTGTGGCCCAATTCCTGCCCACCCAGCGGGAGGACCCTGACCTACGGTCCTACACACCTCTCCCTTCCCCTACGCCCTCAGCGAATCCCCTCTGTACACGCAGGTAGGAGGGGATACTGTTTTAATCAGGCGCTACCAGCCTCTGGGGTGGGGGAGCCAGAGGAGGTGGGGAACAGGGGAGGACACGGACCTCCGTGTCCCAAGCTTTAGCCTCCTGCTCCCCTGGCCACTCCCACCCGCCTCCGCTGGTCCTCACCTCCTCCCCCCTCCCAGCACCTTGGGCAGATGAGGATGGGGTTACCATGGCAACGCTGATTCACCACACGGAAGCTGGCAATTGTTGTTGCCATGGAAACCGCCTCTTAGGGGCGAGCCCAGCTCCTGCCTTGCACAAAAGAGATATTTAAATATAATCTTTTAGCGATGGATGAGCCAAGGGAGGGAGGGAGGGAGGGAGGGAGGGGCGGCCCCGAGAGAGAATTTATCCCCAGCACCCAACCATCCGCCCCCCTACCCCATTCTTGGGGCCCCAGGGTACCTGCTGCTCTCTATCGCCCTCCACCCCCATCCACCGCTGGACCTGGGACTTTGCGCCTCCTACTGGGAGCCCCCTTCCCCTCCTGGGGCAGCTTGGTGGCAGGGAGGGGGTCCTGGTGTGGTCCAGAGAAGCCAGCGGGCAGCCCCCTCCTCTCCAGGTCCCACGCCACAGCCATGCTCTGAGCCCGGCTGTCCCGGCCCTGCAGTCCGGCGCCCGCCTTACCCACCGCCCAGAGACGCGCGCCCCGCTGGCGTCCACGTGCCGCCGCCGCGCACACACACGCACACGCCGCCCGCGGGCCAGCCGGGGTGCTGGGTCTCCCCACATCCCGCGCCTTCCCGCGCCCCTGCCCGCCCATCTGGCTCTGCCCACCTCCTTCCAACTCCCTCTCTCCATCTGTCCCACCCAGGTCTGTGGTCTCCTCCACCTTCTCTGGCTCCCCATGGCTGCATCCCTTCCCTGCCCCCTTCTTTCCTCATTGCATTTTTCAACAACATCTAGGGTGTGCCTCACATTGAGTAATTTTGGTACCCCACAGAGGATCCCCACTAGTCTAGTGGAGTGGGTTAGGGTTGGAACACAGGACAGTGAAGAGATAAATATACTGGGCCTGCACTGAAGATGGAAAAATCTGTAGAAGGTTTTGAAGTAGGAGTAGGAGTTTGATGGGGGAGTTGAGACAGTTTCTCATGTTGGAGCAGTATCTACTAGATAAGCAGACACAGTCAATCTCCAAGCAACATTGTGAAATGGAAACCTTTATTCCCATTTTACAGATAGGAAAATCAGTTCCTTGGAGGACCCAGGCGCCATTCTTCCCCCTCAATGGTCTGGGGCTCTGGAGTGCCCTGGGTCCTTGGAATGGGATAGGTAGGCAGTAGGTGGCTGGCTTGCTGGGTGACTCCAGCCAGACCACACACCATTGAGAAAACAAGGTTCTTCACTTCTGATCTGTGTTGCAGATGGGGAAACTGAGGCCCCTTGGAGATTGGGGACTTCAGGAAGAATCTCTGCTGGTCAGACTAGAGCAGCCCAGAATCCTCCTGGATTTCTAAAGTCCAGCCTTTAGAAGATTCAGGGTTACAGGGGAGACCCCCCAACTGGATTGTGTAATAAGATGGCAGGTTGGACTCCCATCTGGGGTGACCTGGCTACTACGCCACCTTCCCCCCTCCCACCTGGACCCCAGCCCAGCCTCCATGGGGCACGGACCAAGCCCCCCTCCTCTGAATGCTCCCCTGGTTCCTGTGCCCTTGGGTGAAATGCCAGCTTCCCCCATCAAGAACCCAGCACAGGCCCACGGATGACAGGCCCAACATGAGACAAGACCTATAGTTTCCTGAGAAAGGGGGTCCCCAGTTCTCACGGACAGAGTGGGTACCTGGCATGAGAAGCAGCCCAAGAGATTGGGCCAGGTGGCGTCTCAGAATAGAAGCCGTGTGCGCCGTGTGCACAGAGGGGGTCAGGAGGGGGAGCGTGAGTCTGAATGGTGGGGACCCACAGGTGACAGATTCATCCCTTTCAGGCACTCAGCAGAGCAGCCAGCAGGCATGGGTCTGAGGTGTCCCCAGCCTCCCAGGACCTTCATGAAGAAAGGGACAGTGTGCTCTCTGAGGCCCTGTCTCCTCGCTGACCAAGGGATGGGAGCTGGGCCTGCTGTCCCCTGGAGACGTCTCCCAGACACCTGGGCTTGGCTTTGGGGGCTTCAGGGCAGCATCTCTTTTGGAATCCATGCAGCCTGGGTCCAGGGTCCCTCCCCACTTCTATTCTGGGACGCCATTATTCAATTTAGGATGTCACTCCAGAGTGCTGAGATTCGATTAAACTGTGTCCCACATGAACGGCAGAGAACACTGGAAGGGAGGAGTCCCTCTTCATTTCAGGGGGATGGGGCAGGGAGGAAGTGGGAGAAGCAAGGCCTAGCAAAGGACCTGGGGCGTGACCCTCCTGGTTTGCAGAGACATAGACACAAGTGTCTGCAGCTACTCCCCCCAACGTACACACACAGGTGTCTGCAAGGAGAAAGAGGCAGGGGTGGGGTGACCGGGTCTTGGGAGCCTAGCTCTGCCCCTGGCTCCTAGCTGTACATGTGTGGGGTGGCTGGGCAGGTGACAGCATGGGTGCTTTTCCTGTAAGGGGCATAGCTCAATCAGTTGCCCCTCATCCTTGGTGACCCTGTGCTGTCTCTCCAGAGCCTCCAGCCCTTTCTTGGGAAGGCTGGCTCCACTTCTGTGGGCATTCCCTGCAAAGAGTGTGGGTGACGCCCCCCCGGCAAAGCTGCCCCACACTTTGCTAATCAGATGGGCTTCCCGAGGCAGCAATGCAACAGCGTGCACCAAAGCCACCATCACAGTGTCTGTGTGCCTCACAGCAAATGCTGGAGAATGACCCAATACCTCTCAACGGCAGGATAGATAGATAAACCACACATTAGCGTTGTGGAATAGTATGCAGCAACAAAAAGGCACAAACCAGTGATGTCACACCAAAAATGAGTTTCATCTAATCTT